GGCAGATATCTGATGACCTTTCCTATTTTACATTACATTACCTGGGCACAGTTCTCTTGACCTTCCCTATTATACATTACAATACCTGTGCACAATTCTCATTACCTTCCTTAATGAACGACTAAATTCATGCCAATAATTCTACTCCTTTAACGCGGAACCATGTTAAACCAGATACATGTATTCCGGACTATTTGCATTCTGGCCATCTACATGTATATACGTTACACTCTTTGTACATTGAGCGGGTCACAATCGTTATTTTGTTCAGTAATGAAAAGTTCAAATGAACCAAGTTCCACACTTCAGGGACTAAAACAGCGGGTACTTACGATCGTCCGTTATCAAGATGGAGATGGAACGTGTCGTTGCCAAAATCTTTGAACGTTTCGTAGTGATGTCTGTCCAAATTGCCTGAAACAAATATAGAAATGCTGTAACGACGTCCATATTATAATTATGGTGGGTGTATTTAAAATAGTTACATGAAACGTGTCTAATGATTTCATATTTTTTTTTATTTAAAATACATTCTCGGTGTTTTTATGTAAAGTTGTCAGGTGTGTCACCTTTATAATGTTTGTACCTCTGCAGATTTAGAGACATGAGATATTACCCTGTATCCTATAATTTAATAGTATGAGGCGATTGATGTGTTACCTCGACATAATTAGGTGTGGGGTGTTCTTCAAAGCCTCGATTTGGCGACACCGTAGTGACCAAATTCGAGCGACCCCCACCCCACTCCCGCAACCTAACCGTGTCTATCGTGACACCTTTCATCGTGAAACACTATAAAATGTTCCCCTGCTGGTCCCATTACAGTACAACAGTTGTCATATAACCTTAGCTGTTGTGAAGAGGTCAAGTGCAATTTACACGAAATTGATAAAGCTCGATCCCAACTCTCCTGAAGAAAAGTAAGACAACCATTTCATGCTTTATGCAGCGTGCACATCGAACAAAATCGATAGCCCAGCCGATAGATCTTCTCACTTTTTTATTCAGATGTTTTCCCTTTCATACATGAATGCGTCTATCCTTTCTTTATTTCCTAAAACATTTTTTTGAAAGCAATTAAAGGCTATAATGACGTCAATGTTGCTACTACATGGCCCGGCGTATATGTTGTACTGAATTATCATTCTTATTCCTACGACGATTAGGTGTGCGCCAACATCTCTCGTCCCTGTGAAAATTCTTGTATATTATTCCATTCTAATTTGTGCTAGGATAGACATTTTACATGAGAAGCCATGGCGTTTATATGAAACATCTTCATAGTAATAAATTAACCAAGTCCCTTAATTGGATGAAACTGTCTAACATGGATATGCAATTATTATGTAAATGCAACCTGTCATAAGTGCACACAGTAAAACAGATTCATTCTGCGAGACAAACGCGAGATAAATTAAAACAAATTAATGTCTGCTTAAAAATATACCTTAAATATCTTTGTGTCGTTCATATACAGTAGTTCAAACGAATATCAGAATAAATATGAATAAAACAACCTTTCACCAAAATTATGAAATTACTCGTATTTCTTTAAAGACGTTTGTAAATAAATGTTTTTCTCTCTCTCAAAATGTGTCGTACAACCTTGTACAAGTCACGAAGACATCACTATTTGAGTTTTATATTATGACATTCATTCCACAACAGGTCATTTACAATTCATCCTGATAAATGACTTGTACGGTATGAATAATTAATTAACACAAACTCATATTAAAAAAAGAAATAGTTACGAAATAATGTATACAGACATACCCTCTATTTGACAGAAAATGTTTGACAACAGGAAATAGGATGTTGCAGCATAACCGAGAATCTCAAATGCTCTGAATAGTTTCGAGTTGGTTTTGTCCAAAGCGAGAATGCGTAATGTTTATGCTAAACTGAGTCTTTTTGGCGCAATGACAGTTCATTTGTTTGCAAACAATATATTAGGTCAATTCTTTGCAAATATTTATAAATAACGTTTGACATAACTTTTTTTTATCTTTATCACGTTACGTCCGTTCTATTAATCCTATCAAGTTCTAAGAACGCTATGTTCTGTGAGTTCAGACTTTCCCTTGGGAACAGTCCTCAGAACAAGCCTTATTCTTCGTAACTGCTCAAGTAAGACTTTTGCTAATTATTGCCATCAAGATCAGTCAAAATAATCGACTACAAAACCCAGTTTCCACATAATCTTATACCACTTCAGAAGTGGGCTACATACTGGATGTAAGGTTCAACACAACAAAGCATTATGGCTATCAACAGAAGAAAAGCTCCAACTATTCAAAGGAAAACCTCAGACTTCTATCTACATCAGAATTCCCAATATCTTGGAATCAATTTTAAGCGAACTTCTGAAGTGGACCTCCCAATACAAAAAACAGTATTCCCAATTTAATTCACACAGCTTACTGCTCTCTGGTCCGACATGCGCTACACCGATTTTGAAGGCCCCTTCTTCAATAGGAATATTGCAAACGAAATTTGGAAAAATACAGAGACGAGCAGCGCACTTTGAGAAAAAATACAAGAGATAAAGCATGTATCATCCATGCTTCAGGATACTAATGACAGCCATTCTTCGAGAGATGGAGAGATCGATGACTTCTCTTTATATTCAACATCATCCATGGCTGTGAAGCAAGCTATCACTGCTGACACCACAAAGTCAATGTAGCTCCAAGCTATTCAGATGAGGAGACTCCGAACAACATCATCATACCCGGACCTCGTCAAATACCCTACCATACCGTGGACCGGGAACCATTAGGACAGTCTACCGAAATTGCTATGACCAGTTAATTATCAAAACACTTAAAACCTTCCCTAGTTTTAAACCACGGCCGTGCCAAGGGAAATCCCCTGGAAGTTGCTTAATATATATTTTCAAGTAGTAAATTCTAAGACATTAAGTCGATACCATATAAATATCGATTAATACAAACCACGAGACCACTTCATGTTTGGGGGTATTACAATAATGTTCGGGTTTATTTCAATCATGTTTGGTATTACAATAATGTTCGGGGGTATTACAATCATGTTTTGGGGTATTACAATAATGTTCGGGTTTATTACAATCATGTTTGGGGGTATTGCAATAATGTTCGGGGGTATTTCAATACAACAATGATTTCTGAATTCCCTTGTTTGAGTGAAAAAGGCCATGAACGTGGTGACCTCTTCAAGATTTTTCATCTTCCCTCACAAAAACATTTCTCCCTCTATCTAATCGACTATTGTTATGCTGTGGTCCCACATTAGCCTACTTGTATTTCTAGAGTTGAAAGATCGCGTCGGATGTGATGACCACTTCGTCCATATTAGGACAACGTCATCGTACGTTCATGATTAACTCAAACACCTAAAATCCCAAACACATACAGGAGCAACGTCGGGCTAATATCATTTGCTCTTTCCGACTTAAGCGTTACATCTTTTACAGAAATCAGCCCTCACAGGTCCCATAGTGTGGCACGCCGAGTTATGAGAACGTGTCAACTCCTGACTTAGAAACCAATAAATAACTTGTGTCTCCGACAGAGTGGCAGATTGTGGGTTTTCATTTTCAAATTATTTCCCTCTTTACAATTAATGACTCACATGCAAACGTGACAATGAGTGAAGTACACACTATTTTTTTTTGTTAGCAGTGATCCTTACCAAATAATCTGTAACTGTTTCTTGTTTTCGTAAGTTAACAAGTAAATTGAGGATTAAAGTCTTCCAACAGCCAAGCTCATATGACAACTGTGTCCTCTGATGATGGAGCGACTTTAAGGTCATTTTAAAGCGACACCACACTTAAATGTCATAACCTTGACACCGTAGTATGACATTTCACTTGTCACTGTAATGACAACTAGCTAACCAGAAGTGTCTAGAGAGACAGTAATGAAAAGGAAAACGAGATAAATAGAACGGTAAAATGAGAAGTCCTGAGTGTCGTATTGGCTACAGAAGACAAACGTGTATATGTCTCTTTTCTGGGGCTCCGATATATTAAGTGATATCTCTATCATGAAATATTGATATCACTTAATAAATATGTGGTATGGGTTCAACAGTTGATATACAAACATTAAAAATCAACTTTCGTCATTTCATGAACGTTCACATAATATATTATCATTAATTCATTATGGTAATAAGATGATATCACTGCGTTGAAATGATATGATCTAGATAAGTAATTGTTGGTATCACTAATTGAACAATTAATATCGCTAATTCATTCTAGTGATTTCACCAAGTTTGCTTTGAAAACAAAAAGGAGTTGGATACTTATATTGCGAGCTGTCGAAAACGTCTGTTTCTTTGCCAAGCAAAGAGTGTAAATGACCGGTGTCCAATTTTCCTCTGGATAACTTTTAAACAAACTCTAAACTAAATTCCCGATTCTATACAGGACCACCCATGATTCTGTCACCCAAATCATCAAGAGTTTGAGCATAAGATTACATGAACTTTGGACCTTGCCTTATCGGAACATATGGACATAACTAAAGGCCTATAAAAGCTAACAACATTTGATATAACATATGTCAGATTAAGCTATGTACATAATTAGCACTGAAATATGATTACCTATGAAATATATACGTTTACGGTTTGTTTAGATATGTTTCTATTTTCTTTCTCCTTTAATTTCGCTTTCAATGGTATCTCAATCGGAACCTCTGGTTAGCCGGATTTTATGATGCCGTGCATATGGACGAATTGCCTTAAGCGTTGGTCAGGATGTACCATTTCAATGAGACAGAACTTCAAATAAAGAAGAACCTGAGCTGGTGCGATTGGAAGTTGAAACAGTCGGCGTTTGATCTATGATATCCCTACTTGTTTGGTAAAAGGAATTGGATAATGTGTATCCCACTGTCTGATAAATCGATCGTAGGAGATAGCTTGTTTATGTTTCCGCAGAACTTGGACAGCTCTTCTATGACCTCTACTTGGGGACGTCAAAGAGACGTGATCTACTGTGTTCCTATTACAACACTTTTGTCTTCTAACGTTGCTTTATATCCCATTCCTGTTGGAGGTGTCTAAACACTTTTGACTTGGTCGTGGTCAACAGTGTGGCTGGTACATTGAAATGACCAGTAAATGGTATCATCGTCAGTGAGCCTTACAAAAACAAACCAATACGGCCGATATAAATATAATTCAAAGAGGTACCAATAAAACACGCAAATATTAATGTACCTGTCATGAAGTCAAATACATGAGTGTCCATCAGGTCTAACAGTCGACGACCGGTGTTGTAGGGAGACTTCGTCTTCACTTTATCGCACAAATCATCGTACACCTCCCAGTAGGCTTTGCGGTGTTTGCTGTATGACCGTTTCCACGGGTTACGCCATGTTTTCCGAGCTGCTATCTTTTCAGGAGGAAGGAAAGCCGCCATTGATGATTCGAGTAAATCCGGGGACCCACAGATCGCGTGGCCTGAGTCGCAGTAATACGAACAGCTGCCATGGAAACAGAGATTGTTGGCTGAAATTAAAGAAACCGGTGTTAATGAGTTTAACGTTTATCGCCAAGACATGGTTTTAACAGAATATATCAGTATCGTAAAAGTTCCTATAACCCATCAGTCACTCAATCGAAGCCTGAAAGACTTACATTTTTCGTATTTAATAAACCTTCCTTGACAGGACGCCCCAGTTTCCAATAAATCAGATTATATTCACAAATAAGAACTAATCACTTAAGAGAAAAAACAACCAACCTTTTAAGGAGGTCAGGAAAAAAGGTTTTAATTTGTTATAAAGGGACTGATTAGTAAAAAAAATAATAAGAAACCTTGTTATAATGACAAAACCCTAGACTTAATTTCTGCAAAAAAATACAAGCCTTCCGTTATGGCCTACTGCAGCACTAAAATGGGCGCCCCTTCTTTACAGAGTATGATAATTCAGGACTTACTCTCTTTCCAACTCACACCAAAACCAAAAATATTGAAGTCTTATACTGTAATTTTCATAACAGAGCTAAAAATACCGATAAACTACCATTTCTGTAAACGGATTAATGAATAAGTGCTGAATGAGAAGTACATGTATACACTTAATTAATGAGATTCTTTGTACGTTATATTTACATCAGACTGTCGACGTATCCCGTTTACAGTTTTATCTCTCCATAACATGAAAGACGTAATGTTTATTATCGCTCTATGTAAAGTGTTACCATATGTTCCCGTTTG